GGAACTGGTAGATCAAGCCTCATCCACACCGGTGGATAGCAGGCAGATAAAATCGACTACAACTAGCGAGGAGGACGCCAATGCATGGCGTGATGTAGTCTCTCGCAAAAAGCGAGATGAGGACAACACATCGGCTACACTGCCCACGAAGGGCAAAAAGACATTTACGCCCCAGAGCAAAACAGCCACGGCAAGCAAACCTGATCTCTCTGACAGGTCGTTCACTCTCCACAAAGTGGAATAGTCACTGGCCCCCAAACCCAAGGCCAGATTCGAACATGACCTTAGCCTTTTCAAGCTCTTTTTAGATAAGCTACTGCCACAAACAGTATCAGGCATTACAATACACAGCGTGTATAGAATTGCCCAAAAGCCTGACCTTACAGTAAATCAGCCTGTACGTCTCCTCAAAGTCGTAATAAACTTGAAAGAAGTGAGGGATGCCATTCTAAGCAACTCTCAAATTCTTAAAGGATCAGGCGTATATATCCGTGCCGACTTAAGCCTAGCAGACCGAGTGATTTGTAAGTTACTCAGACGTAAACACAAATATTGGAACCTATTTGCCACACTTGAGACTCCTGAGACCAGTAAGTTATATAACACTGCTAGGAATCAAGCTACTGCAGAAACCCCTCAATCAAGGGTGGAGTTCGAAGTACATCTCCCCTAAAATGCAAAGGCGCAACCTAAGGAAATTTTCTCGTACGTTAACTTCAGGAATAAAACATCCAGTGGTGTCCCAAATCTGACTATTGACAATAACACAATCAAAGAAGATCAAGAAAAAGTAGAATCAATGACAGACTACTTCTTCCAAGTCTTTACACAGGGGTCCTTACTCACATTAAGATCAGCTTTGGCTGCATTATAATAGGGGATAGGATAGGAGGAATAGAGGATAGATTCCGTTGACATCGACCAAGGCATTGTGCTCAACTGCCTAATGAAACTAGGTGCAGGGAAACCAATGGGTCCTAATAATCTTCATCCAAGGCTTCTCAAGGAGCTATCGACTTACGTAACCGGCCCTTTGACCACTACCTTCAAGTCCTCTTTCCTAAATGGAGTGTTGCTGCATGACTGGAAATACACCATATTAACCCCCATCTACAAAGGAGGATCAGGACACAGCCCCTCAAATTACAGGCCTACCAGTCTCACCAGCACCTTAATCAAGACACAGGAAAGAATTATCAAGAAAAGCATCATGGCATATCTGCGAAACACCAGCTTGTTATCCAGAGCACAGCACGGCTTCCGAAGAAACCTCTCGTAACTGTCAAATCTTCTCAGTGCAAGAGAAAGCTGGGTCAAATCAAGGGACAACAGAAGACCCATTGACTTCGTCTTCATAGACTTCAGCAAAGCCTTTGGTAAAGTACCTCACAAAAGACTACTCATGAAGTTGGAAATACTTGGTATCAAAAACAGATTACTAAAGTGACTCATGGAATTCCTCATAGATAGGATGCAGAGGGTTAGGATGAACTCGAAACTCTCCTCTTGGACAGCAGTACGTAGCGGAGTGCCACAAGGCACGGTACTCGGACCTCTCCTATTTATTTTGTATATCAATGAGTGACCTCTGCTCACCGACTCCACTATGGTCCTATACGCAGATGACTTAAAATTTGGAGAGAGCTGAAGGGCGACAGTGATACGTCCACGCTGCAAGAAGGCCTCAACAAATTGTCAGAGTGGTCCACAGAATGAATGCTCCTGATCAATGTGGCAAAATGTGCAACCATGCGCATCAGACAAGCAAGCACCAGCTGCTACGAACTAGAGGAAATGACACTTCCATCAGTTCAGACTCACTTGGACTTAGGTGTCATAGTTAGCCATGACTTAAAAACTACAGCTTACTGTCGCGCGGTGGCTGCATGTAGTTTCAGATTCTCATGAGCAATTCGCAGAGCCTTTACTAGAATCAACAGAGATATCTTCACCTCCTTATATACATCTCTGGCGAGGTCAAGACTGGGAAACTGTATCCAGGCCGCCAGTCCTTGTCTTAAAAGGGACTCACACGTTCTAGAAAGGGTTCAAAGGAAGGCAACACGTATGGTTCTCGACATGACTAACTTATCAAACGAGGAAATACTAGACAGTTTAAATTTCCTCTCCCTGTCATACCGTAGGCAGAGAGGAAATTTAATCACAATGTTTGAAATTTTGCATAATCACTAAGGTCTTGATATATCCTCTCTTTTCCTTCCCACCAGATTGGAACACCTTAGAGGACATAGCAGGAGAGTTCAAAAGCCAAGAAGAAATTATATTACTGTTGAGTACTGGTTCTCACACCGAATCATAAACACTTGGAATCGACTCCCAAAAGAAGTGGTGTCTGCAACCTCAATTGATTCGTTCAAGAAGGGTTTGGACAACCACAGAAATTTACCATAAAAGAATTAACATCCGCTCCAAGCCTCTATCCTCAAGCAATAAATCTAAGTTTGAATAGTTACGGAAAATAACTTCGTCACCGAATTCGGAAAGGCCTTTGTTAAGTTTAGAATGAAAACAGTCTTTATTTCGGTATTTGTACTGATATCTGCTATATAGAAAGTCTGATAAACCCGAATAAAATATGACGATTAAGCTTTCATCACAAATAAACGTAAGGTTGTATAAAATGATGAATGCATTTTTATTTTAACCGTTAGTCATGTATGTTTTAAGAAGCGAAGCAGTCTAGAGAACGGAATTTCAGTATTTGTTACACTTACCACACTGTCCGACCTTGGGGTAATATATAGGCAGTATGGTGGACCCAGTTGGATAGACTAGGATCAGTTAAATCATAAATAGTCATAGGTTCGTATTCAGAGTTTTCAACGAAATTCTCACGTGAAGCATCTTCTTCCATTTCCTCTTCTTCGTCTTCATTGAACTGGTAATAGTTGATTGGGGAGATTATCGTTGATCCGGATATGCGTGCTATTTGTGCTCTGAGAAAGCTTTTCTCGGTTCCTGGAAATGTTGGGTATGAATTAATTTCAGCCTCCAAGTTTCCAGTGCAAAAGTATTTTATCATACGACTTGTAACAATCTATAAGGTTTGAAAAGGAATGCTATTATTACGCTTTATTGTGAAGCATTAAAACCTATTATTACATAGTTTAGGACTTTAATAACTTAAATAAAAATCAGGGAAATCATTAAATAGATGGTTTACACACTTTGCCAGTATCTTCCTCTTGGTATTCGTTAGAATAGGGTGTTATAAATTTTGACTGATAGAGTCTTACAATTAGGAGATTATTCAGAATTTATTTTATCAGGTTACTGAACTATTTTAACTAATTAAAACACATGTTTCATACACATTATCTGATCTTCCACCTATAGAAGAGGATATCAATTCAGAAATGGTAAAGTGTATGGAGATTTGCTGATCCTGGTGAGCGAAACTGTAAATCTGGATCTTGTTATTTGTTACGGTATCCTTTTTAAGCTGCTTTTCACTTATTATAAATTATTTGAGTTAAAAATGTCACATTACTAGTGTTAAAGTGTCTAAAAGATTTATTTCAGTGAGGTTCTTCATATTTTCTGTTCGGCTTTGAGGTATCACCGGTTTCGTATCGTGTGGCTCAGGGGGATAACTTTTTCTACATATACTTATTGAACACAGAAGTAACTAATTATGTAGAAATAGCCTTGAAAATGGGGAATATTTGGCAAAACTGTTTACATAAGGAAAACCTTATATTAGATTGTAAAGTTCGATATTTTGTTTCACATTTACTTGGTGATTAACTCGAACTAATGTTCTGGTCTCGAGTGGACAGCAAGTGAAAATCTTACACAAAAGTCTGAGACATTATACTTATTTCTGTTAACTGAAAGTAAGTTTAAATATCAGAAACAATATGACAAGTATATGTCAAATTACCTGTTCCGGAGTGACATCCGGAAGTCTGACCCACTTCTCCCCAAGAATATTACAGACGTAATATGCTTTTCTATTGGTTCCCTTTCCACTTTCTTCAGGTGGTATAGATGGCAGTGATTTCCATTCAGATTTCGGAAGGGGATCCAAATCCAGTACCGCCAGCCTTTCACCAAGTGCGACATCTGACCTTGCAGTCCTCTCACTTTCCATCAAGTCGGTCTGAACTTTAAACGAATCAGGAGGCTTGACAGCTGGCTGTAATTCTTCCACCTCCAATATGTAGTAACATTTACACGTTCCTAAATACTTTCCCCAAAATCTGACACTGTTGGAGGGTACACTTTTTAAAAAGTTCCGTACAGACAACGAGAGATTAATGACTTCTTCCTGCGGAAATCCTTTAAAGTGACCAGTCAAGAGAATTCATATGACAAACCTATTCCAGCTTGTTCTAATGCAAAGAACAGTTTGGGTAAATCAGGAAAATTCTGAAGTTTGAGGCTTTCTTTAGGATTGTACTGCATAAGTCAGAGAACAGCTAGGGATAAAACATACCGAAAAGTATGGTCTGCGAAGTATTGCCAAATCTAATTCAGCAGACTTCTCTTTAACATTTCTCATCAATCGTGTACTCGCAGAGCATTTGTACTTTTTCAATTTACGGCTCAAATTTTCAAGTTCAGTCAGTGAATCATCACTACCGCCTCTTAAAACTGTACGTAGTATACTAACAAGATGATCATAGCTAAAAGATATAGAAATTTATTTCAGCTTTTAGTTCACTAACATGTTGTAGTCGTTATCAGTACACCTTTGAAGCAAGCACTTAGCATTGAGAAATGCATATTTATTTGGTTTCAAAACGAAATCACTTTCGTTAGAAAATTGTTCCTCTGTTGTAGTTGTTGACATCGTTATTAGCGCCACTTCGTTATCATAGTTACCACTAATTAAAAGTACTTTAGTCTGTTCTTTTATTTTTGGAAGAGGAAGCTGTTGATTTTTCAACGAAAATAATACCGTATAACTGTATGAAATTTTTTACATTTGCCTTTACAACCCGCCTAATTTGCATTTTGCGGTGTACGCGTTCATCATGTGTGCACGATATAATCCAGACTATGCGTCTAATTATCCGGAAGGTTTGTTTCATAGAGCCCTAACCACGGTCTATTTTAGCCCCGTTTTACCCCAATTATCCTTCTTATAGTCAAGAATACCCCTCCTCAGTACAGAGAGCAAGTGACAACACAGGTGGGACACATGGACCATTTGTTCAAAATCCCTTCATTCCCGATTTGGCTGTTCGCTATGGGTCAGCCATGTTTGGTGAAGGTGCAAACTATGTGCAGAAGAATGTAAGCTGTCTCATACTTACTTAATGCTTCAGGTGAACGAATATGTTAATGTGAATCGATTAAAATATTATTTCTCCGTTAACAATTCCTACGTCGCTAAAAAAATCGGATTGGTCTTGTTTCCTTTTGCACACACAGTAGGTTCATCCCGTTTGATTCGTGTTTTCGTCTATAAAGTGCTATATTTCTTTATTTGAATGCCTGCCCCAATGAAGAAGCAGCTCAGCCAGCAGACATGCGTTTCATGGGGATATGTAATTGTTTGTCCTTGAGGTTGTATTCTGATATTTTTAGGTTGGGATTAGGTAAAGAAACACCTTGAGTTTAGATTGTTTTTGATGTACAGCTACATTCAGGAGTAATGCCTAGTAAATGTTATAGTTGATTGTAGGTCTAATTAACCTAACCTGGCTAGGTATGCTGTGCCAGCTGGGACTACGGTCTTGAGCAGTTACATTGTCTTTAAGATTAGTGTCAGGTATTATTTCGGACTTAGGGCTCGGTGATTAGTATTAAGTTAACGGAGAAGCTAAACTATAGCGACCACTTCAATATATGACCATGGACAACAAAGTGGATTCGCAGGTTATGTAACCAAATTTAATTATGCCTTCTCTCATGAATTCGCTTGGCGAATTCTAAAAGAGTGTTTGTTTACCATATGAATAATTTATTAATCAGCCTAACCAAAACATGCGTATGCACTGGTATCTTGACGGGATAACTGGTCTTTTGTGGTAAACTAGGAAACAAAATCAAGCATAAACGGATCTCAGAACAGCATGATCAGTAGACACCTTGTTAACAGTTTTGACTCTTAATTCAAATTGCAGGCAATACTGCATTTGACCCGTAAGGGTAACACGTGTCGCGATCCACTTAACTGTAGTCATTTTGCAAGTCTTTTGCTTAAAGTCTTGGAATAGAGTAATAACAGTATTTTCGCCTTGTATTTATATTCTCTGTTTTTTATGTTCAGCTTTGGATGGTATCGTCCATGAGTGATATAAATGCAGCTAGCTATTCAACAGATAAGTACGCAATTTAGGGACTCATTGTTAAGTTTACGTTCAAAATTTTATCATTTGGATGTCAGAAAGAAGCCTTGGTTTATCGTGCTCTAAGATTGTAATAGTATCCTATTTTCGTGTATCACTAATAAGACTTACAAAACATTAGCTTGTACATTTAAAATCTGTAATTTTTCAATCTTTCTTGCTCATTAGAAGTGGGCTTCCAATTATGACCCTGCTGGACCGGTACCTCCCGGTGATGATATTAATGCTCCGGACCTGTACATACCGTTAATGGCTTCTATTACCTACATACTTTTGAGTGGTGTTATATTTGGTCTCCAAAGTCGTTTTTCACCGGAATATCTTGGTATTTTAGCAAGTGAAGCTTTTGGCTGGTTACTGCTTGAAGTTTTATTGACTCTTTTCGGAATCTATATCCTTAATATCCAGTCAAATATTTCTTACTTGGATATAGTTGCATACTGTGGATACAAATTTGTCAGGTTTGTTGCTAATTAAACTTTCAATTTGTTATATATTTATGCTGGTTAATTACGTCGTTTATATAACTTATATATACATATATTGTAAGGATGTGGCTCATTGGTTTCAGCCAGTGAGTCCTGGGTTCTAATTAACTTGTTCATGCTGTGTATATGGGTAATATCAGCCGTCTCACAGCAAATGTGGCTCATAGCCTATTACAAGATAAAGCTATTATAGGTAGCTGTGTTCTGCGATAGTTTTATTGAGAGGCTTTCTTTTGTCTTAACTACAGAGGTAGTTAAAGTAGTTAAACAAAGATCATCTTGAGTAGGACTCACTGGACGCTGAGCGATTCATACATTGAGTAATAATCTGACAGTAGTTTGTGCTGCATTCACCACCTTCAAAATGTAGATTGTTACTTAATATCTAACTGTCACGTATAGCATGAATTTTTAAAGCAGTTCAGGCTAGTGAAAATCTTAGCGCGTGTGAAAAAAAAACTCATTTCGTTTGTATCGAATCGCGCTGGCTACCTTGTAGCTGAGTCATGATATTATTTACTCCACAGAATTTCTCTCTGTTGAACTCCATGACTGCCAGGCAATGCCGTTAAAAGTATATCCAGTGAAGTTGCAATTATTTTACTTTTATTGCTCGCCCATTGGAATCATAAAATGAGTAATGTAAATGTTAGGTGTACAGTACTGGGTAAGACGTAAGTATTTATGAGATTGTCAACTCCCACGGCTGGAAATGAAAGAGCAAATGTTGAGCGTCCGTGGCACAGTGGTTAGGACTCTCGCTGACCATGCACATGGTCCGGGGTTCGAGCCCACACCGGCGCACACCTGATATCTATGCTCGGCCTGCGAAATTTAGGCTACCGATATCCACGTTGAAATTCCATACTTGTACCAAAATTACGGTGTGGAATCAAGCTGTAATCGAAAATAAAATACATTATTATTGTTATTATTACTTTTTTACGTGCAGATTAATAAGTTATAACCAATAGGATGTGTGCCATGGTTGGAGGCAATCGGCAGGAAGCCTTGAACCTAAGTTTCGTGCTAATTGGCACTCGTCAAGGATGGTTGTTTACTTAACTCGAACAGTGCAGGAAGATTATCTGGCCAGTTCCTGTGGATTTGCTGGCATAGGAATAGGATCAAGGTGCAGAGCATTGTGGTCACTGCCTTTTCATGTCCTATTAGGCGGTTATTACCATCTACTGTCTAACATAACATGCTGCTCTCATGTAAATAATTTGCAGTAAACGTAAGTGATGGATAGTCCAAGGAATTTCCTCCAACAACTGAATCATCGAGTGTTTTTCCAATTCATGTGAGGAAGTTTAGCTTACTTGTCTATATTACCTGTGACAGTCGTTTTCTGTAACTGAAGACCGTGTTAAATGACTGAGAATGGGATGCAATGACGCTCACGCACTCATATTTCATCTTCGTCTCGCTTCTTCATGCTTGCTTTTTTGTTTTCGTTTTGAATCCTCCAATAGCGTACTTTATGTGCTAGTATATCATATGATAATGTGGAATGCGATATTATATTATTATTACTTATTCAAGCCCAAACTTGATACATTATGGGCATCATATGAGTACCATATCATAAAATTGTTTTATTATGATATCGTTATGCGTTGCTAGTTATTTTTAACTTTTGTTTTTGTTACAGTATGATTATAGTCTTGATTAGTTATGTTGGATTGAATCAACCAGGCTATTATTTCAGTTTATTGTATGTTAGTTTGGCACTGGCATTTTTCCTTGTAAGTTCACTTTTACTATTTATTGCTTCGTTTCGTTTGTGGATACTGATTGTATTCCTAGGATACATGTAAAGTGTCTAGGCATTCACCTTTTAACCACTAAATCACAATTTCAAGCCCTATTCTACTTACTGAGATGTGGGTAGCCGTATTGCGTCAATAGTCGTCGTATGATATGTTTAATTTATTGCCATATCCATGTAGGTGTTGAGTTATACTTAATTTCATTAATACAAGTTTGATTGTTTTGATTGGACACTAAGTTAGTAACTAGTTTAATGTGTCCAGTTCTTTGTACGGTGCAATATGGCTACTATTCTAGTTGGTTCGTCATCACGATGCACTTTAAGTTGTTAATATTAGATGGTTGGAGGCAATCGGTAGGAAGCCTTGAACCTAAGTTTCGTGCTAACTGGCACTCGTCAAGTTTGGTTGTTTACTTAACTCGAATTAGTTAGTGTACCATCCCTGACAGGTTTATTCAACCAGTGCAGGAAGATTATCTGGCCAGTTCCTGTGGATTTGCTGGCATCGGAATAGGATCAAGTTGTAAAGCACTGTGGTGACTTCCTTTTCATATCCTATTAGGCTGTTATTTTTCTGCTCTCTGAGCAAATAAATATGTAGGAATAAGATATGAGAATACTTGTCACTTCCTACATCTACCCTCTCATTGTTCTCAATTTGTACGAAATAAAAGACAAGTATTACTAGAAACTATCACTTTTGCTTTGAATCGGTCTGTTGTTGCTTGAGCGGATGATCTGATTAATTAGGTAAGAAGAATGAAGCATTCGGAAAAGCATATTGAGATATACACAAAGTACTGTGTTGATGAATCCAGAAGAGTGATCATATCTTACAGCGTTTTCAAATTGTTACATGTTTTTAGACATCACTAATATCAAACATACGAAACAACAACATATTTCTTAGCTGCCACCATCTTTAAGCCAAGGATAAACACAGTTTGGTCATTTCATCGTATAAAATCAGTAAAGGCTTATTACTGTGTTTCAAGCCGCTATGTGACCTCTAGCCGTGCTTTAGTGCATCCTAGTGTATGTGTGTAACTGATGTAGACGTAGGAGAAGGCAGCTGCAGACTCGTTTTGGAAGTGAGAAGATGGAGCTCGAATTTAGGGTGGTGTTTACTAAAATTCTCTGGGCCTGGAGGCGGTAATTGTCCTAAATTAATCTGGGACCATATCCAATCTTTATTAGGCACATCTGATCACCTGTAAAGGTGGCTAAAAGCCAATGGGTTTCTTACCTCATTTGAACTAACTAATGTACAGAAATTTATCCCAGGAGTTTCTAAACATAATGAGGAGCGTAAAGCACTTAAAAGAGATACTGACTGAAGTTTTTTACGATTTAAAGAAGTGATGGGTAGATTATTTTGGGAAATTCAACGAAAATTCCTCGACATTATTTAGGTTGACAGGAAGGAAACCTTATGGTAGGCGAAACAACCTCCGGAAAGAATAAAGTCTTCATAAATTTTTCTGAGTAAATGACCGAATTGATGAGTAGAAGGCTTTGATAAATGATTTGACTGACCCGCATATTACAATAATCACAAAAAGATCAATTATCTTAGGTTCCTAGGTCATTCGGATAGTGATTGGGTTGGTAAGAACACTAAGCGTGTTTCGAAACTTTCATTTACCAAATCACCCGACACCAATTCCCGGAAGAGACCTACAGATGTTCAATACTTTCCGTATTTCATAGCATAATAGTAGAAGCCATCCCTGTCCATCGGGATGAGTTGTGGTAATGTCCAGTTAGGAAGAGTATCCAGAGAATGCATATCACACAACTGAAACACACAGCCGTGTATGCGCTTCTAGAAAAGTCAGTATCATGAAATGAAGTATAGTTGTTTATAGCTTAAATCTGATGAGACCTAAAATATCGAACGAAGGAAAAAGAATCTTTCGCTTACGGATAAATTTATAAGTGATTCTAGAAGCATTCACTTCTAAATAGGACAAAATGTACATCCTGCATTCCACTGTCAGTCATTATCATCCAAATGACATCAGTGCTTATCCTCAAACATCATCGTAGCATCCGTACTCATTAGTCGATATGTCAACAGAAGTCGAACATTTGAGTTCAGTCAGTCAATAGGAAAAACGAAAATTGACTTAAACAACCAGTGCTCTGTGTTCAAAAGAAGCAAGTACAGCCCCTACTACTGCCCTGGCCAACCTTCAGTAGAGACTATAAATTCGTGAATTGATAATATTATCTTTCCTAATTTTTCTGACATTCAGCTTATTTTATGTTGATGCTATTGATGCTAATCTATCAATATTATTGATTTTATGTTATTTAAACAGCATTAATGCTGTTCATAACACTAATTCATTCATTCGCTGTTATGTATGTCTGTCTCTGTCTGGATTAAACATAGAACTTGCCACCGAATTGCAGAAGTTCGAGTTGCCACTTTCCAAATACCACACAAAGGTAGACAAGAAGATGAGTGAAGAGAATCAGTAGAGTTTGATAAGAATAAGAGTAAAACAGAATGGGTAATGGTAGAAGGGAATATGAAAGATTACAGAGACTGAATACATCTGCGCTGGCCATTGACGACGATTTTGAGCCATGTCACCTATTGTCTCTAGCCGTTGATTCATAGAGTCCCGAGGGTCCCAACTCGGAAGTCTGTATCTCCCTACATGACCGACTCAGTTTAACTGTCAAGGATTTCATGGATTGATGAGGCCATGTTTTTGTTTGGCCACCACTTACTCTTTTCCAACCTGCAACCTATATCAGCTAGTAATACCCGTCGTCGGGGGAGGCGGTGGTTAGGCATGCGCACCACGTGACCTAGCCATCTCAATCTATGTAACTCTATGGCCTCGTCGATTGATTTTCCCTCTTTGCTCAACCCTGACTGAAAGCTGCTACCTTGACGTGGTGGTCGGGCTTGAACACCGCAATGTCCCAACAAGCTATACTGGCTGCGACTTATGTCTGTTGAGGTCCTACCATGCCAGAAAGGTTGTTTGGATAGCGGTTAGACAAAAAGCAGCTTCCCAATCTAATACTATGATTCAAACAAACTCACGAAATATCATGCCGGATCGGTCGGGGCCTGGATTAACAACGACCGCGCTTCCTGCTGCCGTGTCACAGGGCAGAAATGATAAATATGCTACTGAGACACACCAAACAAACAAGAACAGGCCGCGTGTGACCAGCCTCAAGCAGTTGTCCCCTGGGGTTTGCGGTCACTCAACCAACTTCCACGGTGTGGGCAGCCGGGAACTAACAATCGCCCTCACAATCCGAAATGCACACGAAACCTCTCACATTCCCAGTGGAACATAGGGCCGCAAGCTAGAGGCTTTAAGTTTCTGTAGCAGCGTTTATTTTTACAGGATGAGGTTGCTAGCCTCATGCCCAACATTTCCTATTCACCAGTTTTACTTCTGGCTCAGTGAGGTAAAGGAGTGCGCTGGTCGGGGGTCGAACCCCGGACCATGTGCATGGTCGGCCAGCGTCTTAACTGCTATGCCACCAGGAGTAGTTTTAAGACACATGAAATGTACTTTTATCGAATTTATTTCCTGTATAAGTTTTATCCTGTCTTATTATAATATCACTTTTTGTTTTTTTTTCAGATAAGAAGTCTTAAGCTCAAAATTCTTCCACATGCAGAAGCATATCCATCAGAGTGTAATAAACGTCGGATTTATTTATTATTACTTATTGCACTAGTTCAACCATTAGTCATTTGGTGGTTGACACGTCGTGTTGTACTGTAAAAAGAACATCATCTATTTGATTTCATCATATCCAAGTGTTTACTGTAAATTAGGAGTGCAAAGAAAAACAAAATTAAATCACTCCTAATTGTATCTTACCTTAAGTTTTTGTATTTGTAATTAAACTGTCTGACAACAAGAAGTATGAATATATATACGAGATAATACATTAAAGATGACTTAACACAGTTTCTTATACAGTGTGCAATGTTGTATCCTTTTATTTTACCATTTTGTGTCAATTTCCTTTTTTTAGCATTTGAATGTGAGATGGTACCTTTGTTTATATTGGTTTTTGTTCTTACTTTCAATAACTTGCTAGTCGTCTTTTTCTTGATACAATGCATTGCTTTTATTTGATTGTCATATTGTCTTAATTCTAACTAATGGTGAGTGACCTTTATCATGTAAAAAGGCTTTTGTCTATCTCAGGATGCCAATCGATCCTCTCAAATAATGAGGATTTATGTACCAACAATTAATCGGCCTGAACATAAAGCGTATAGCCGTAAATTTAGTCGGGAACTTAACAACAGGTATTTAGGGTAACAGCGAAATGTAAATAGACGTGTAACTGAATTGATTTTTGGGATGACCGCTAGATGAAGTAATTTGGTGGGTGACGACTAGTGATGGAATCCACGATGTGCGCTTCGTCTTATTTGGGACTCTACATCTGAATGTATGTGCATTTCTTGGTGAGTAATGGTGTTTCCACTGGAACTCAAACCCTAGTGTCCATCATTTCAAACGCCAAAATACAACCGCTTCACACTGAATAAACGAATGGTTTGATTAATGATCGCTGAGTATATTGTACATTGATACTGAGATAACGATCAACGATAGTTTTTGAGTCGTTATTCGTATGTATTTTTTACTAGTCGTTGATAATACTTGGAAAAATGTTTTGAGTTCTTAGTTTATTAATCCTTCACTTAATTGATTGTGAAAATAAGCAAATCTATTGGTGTTATTTTTTTACATGCTAAAGTATGTTGAAATAAATGGGCGAGGTTTTTAGTTCACAATGAGAATGAAAATCTGTGTGAAAATATGAACTGCATATGTCGATGGGACTTTTATTATACTTGAAATGAAAAACCCTCAGGCTGAATAATCAAATAAAGAAAATAATGACTACCTGCTTTTGGATATGCTTAGTTAAACAACTGTAGAGCCGAATAAAAGTTATCCAAATCTATCGCATTTTTAACAACGGTATGCACTCACGCGATAGGTCTTAAGTCTTATTTCAAAGCATTATCTATGAGGTCTACAGCAGCATAGAAATCTTACACCAATCTGAAGAAACTATCAACATAAGATGCTTAAAGCAAAAGACTATCCTGACAATGTCAGCAACAAGTTTTATCAGTAGTCACCCTATGTGAAAAACTTCTCGAAAGTTGTCAGTTGATCTTTTTTTATGGCCATTTGGAATTAGAACGACACATAAATCAACAATTTGTTAGCCAGTTCAGCTGCAAAGTGTCCGAAAGAATCTACAAGCACTAAGATTACACGATTAAAAACATGTAGACGGTTGCCATCATAATTTTTCACCTTAATGAGTAGTACTTACTTACTTTACTTTACTTCGGCTATCTCCTACGGGAGGATGAGCCGGCTTCATGAACGTCTCGAATCATCGCTGCCCAGGCGCGGCGATCTGAAGCAAGGTTTTGTGATAGGGATATCCAATTCTTGTTCCACATACGGAGTCCGTAGACCGTTTGTAGCCCCAGGCACTCCATATCTGCCTTGACTGTACCAAGCCATGTCTTCAGCTGTCCGCCTCTGCGACATCGCCAAGATGGTAATGGCGAGGGATTTAGAACTGATTTGACCAGATCGTCATCTGGTCGGCGCAGAACATGGCCAAACCACCGAAGGCGGCGTTGTTGGACCAGTACTGGAATTTGGTTGATGTTGTAGCAACGCCGACGCACTTCTTCGTTGGAGAGTTTGTCCTGCCAACGAACATGCAGAATGTACCTGAGACACCAATGGTCTAATACCTCGAGTCTGCGTAAATCTTCCGCGCGAAGAGGCCAGGTTTCACAGCCATACAGGAGAACGGGTCGTATGGAAGCTTGGTAGACCCGAATTTTAGTCCTGAGACTGATTTCTCTCTTGCTCCATAGAACGCTCCTCAGCTGTAGAAACGCATTCCGGGCGTTGGAGATTCGCGCATTCACTTCGTTTTTCGCTTGGCCGTTGGGGAGCATTATGGATCCCAGATATCTGAAGGATGGCACAATTTCAATAGGTGCTCCATTTAAGGATAAGATTTCATCATTGCCGGTGGATGTGTTCGAAAACATTTTGGTTTTGGAAGTGTTAATTTTCAAACCGATAGTAGACGCGAGGTGGTTTATCTGGTCGAGCGCCTGTTGCATATCGGGGAAGTTTTCAGCTAACAGCACGACGTCGTCGGCGAATTCGAGGTCGGTTATGTGAATATCGGGCGAAAGTTGGACGCCGTGGTGCTCGGTTAGGGCGTGCCGCAAAATCCAATCAACTGTGAAATTGAACAGGATGGGGGATGCTGGACAACCTTGCCGGACACCGCTGGTTACCTCAAAAGTGCGGGACTCTTCACCGTTCACTCGGACTCGAGCTTTGGTGTTGGAGTAGTATGACCTGAGCAGGTTGATTAGCTTGGTCGGAACTCCGTCGAGCTCCATTAGATACCAGAGTGCTCCTCGATCAACTGAGTCGAATGCCGCTTGGAAGTCGATGAAGCAAGCAACCGTCGGCTGTTGGAATTTGTCCCTGTGTTCCAAAATTCTTCGCAGTGTGAATAATTGATCAACACAGCCTCTTCCAGGTCGAAATCCGGCTTGATTTGGCCTTGTTCGCACGTGGCGTTCGGCCGCGAAGCGGTTCAGGAGAATGGAAACAAAAACCTTAGCAGCGATATCAATCAGACTTATGCCTCGGTAGTTCTCGCATATTGACCTGTCTCCCTTTTTGTGGAACGGTAGCAGAACTGAGGTGCTCCAATCGGAAGGAATGGTTTCGGACTCCCAAATTGAGCAGAACAGCGAGTGCAGTGCATCGATTAGCGCTGGAGTGCAGGCCTTGTATATTTCTGGGGGTAGACCATCTTCGCCCGGAGCTTTTTTGTTTCTGAGTGTGTTAATTGTTTTAGCTATTTCGGTTGGAGTGGGTGGATCGCAGTCAACTACGTAGGGTGTTGGTAAGTGTCGTATCGGTCGATGAGACGGTTGACCAGCGTCGCGATTGAGTAGCTGCTTGAAGTGTTCGGCCCATCGTTCCATCTTACCATTGGTGTCCGAAATAATTTCTCCTGATGCTGTGCGTAACACAGCATGACTGTTAAGGCGTTTGCCAGATGATTGGCGTAAGAGGCGATAAAGTTTTCCGAAATCGCCTACATTTGTTGCTGCTTCCATGTTAGTCGCCACGTTAGACCAATAGCGATTTCTGTCGTTCCTAGCAGACTGTGTAGCTTTGCGCCTGAGGGAGCGATAAACTGGAGACTTTGCTAGGCGAGCGTCTCTGGCTTGCGAGGATAGAAGCATGGTGTGCTCTGAAATCCAGTCTTTCTGCTTCTTGGATGTGGTACCCAAATGCGTCATTGAAGCTTTAGAGACTACTTCTTTGAAATGATTCCATCGTGTCTCGGGTGTATTAGAAGATGTGGATGTTGGTTCATCTGCGGTGCTTAGTTCGGCCTGGATTTGTTTGGACAAGGCTTGTCGTCTTGTAGAACATTGAAGCGGGGCAACATTGATACGCTTCGGAGGTCGCGTCTTCTGGCGTGTCGTTAAACGAAGTTTGAATTTCGCCCTAACTAGAGTATGGTCTGATCCCCCTTTATTTCCGGCCTCTGCTCCACGATAGGATCGACAGTCTTCCACCGAGGAGATCCAGCGTGAGCGCACTAGGATGTAGTCGATCTGATGTGCAGTGCGACCGTCGTTCGAATACCAGGTGAGAAGATGTTTTCTGGGGTGTTGAAATCGAGTGTTGGTGATATATAATCGATTGTAATCAGAAAAAGATAAAAGTCTATCACCATTACGGCAGCGCTGATCGAGACCGTGTTTGCCTAGTATATGTTTTGTCGCGTCGTCTGAAGGGCCAGTGCGGGCGTTCCAATCGCCGGCTACTATGAGAACGTCACGCTTTGGGATTTTGTTGATTGCCTCTTGAAGATTGTCATAAAATTCGTCTTTGATACTTTCATCAGAGTCGAGGGTTGGGGCATAGACAGCGAGAACAGAAATGTCGAGCGGGGAACCCTTGAACCTAGCGACTGCAACTCTGGAGTTGACCGGTTCGAATGATATTAGGGCATTATTGGCTTTGTTACTGAGAGCAAATGCTACCCCATGTTGTCCCGAATTATTCTGGGGGCCACTATGAAGCAACCAGAATGAAGAATCTGTTCCAGGAACGGCTATTCGGCGGGAGCCATGATCGGGTAACCTCACTTCAGATAGACACGCTATGTCTACCTTGTAGTCATATAAAGAACGCATGGTGATAGACTGGCTACCAGGATCCAACAGCGTCCTAACATTCCAGCAGCCAACAAATAGTTGGTTTCTAAGTGTTAATTTCCCAGCTAGCTTACTTTTCACACTGGCCACCGGGTGAGCACAGGGCGCGTCGCTTACCGGGAACGCCGTAGCATGGTGAGAGTTGTTTGTAGGAGAGTTCATGAAGTTTCTTGGGAATTTGGTACGAGTGATGTCCCCAGCATCGCTCGGTTAATGAGTAGTGCTATCCAATATTATGCAAACTGACGACAGATAATTATTCTCGTATACTGCTGTAGAGTTTAAGGTTGTGTTGTAAAGATGTCTTCTTTAAATCACAGTGACACACGTTTAAGTAAAAAAAATACCTGAGCTATGCCTCATTTCTCAGTAAAATTACTTTTGAATATGTCATCAAATATAATGATGAGACATTTACATGTCACAAAATTATATTATTTACGTCATACTTCGCAAGAATGCTTGATTCTTGCCATCTTTTGGGTGTCGGCGGTAGAACGCCCACCAATCACACATGTGGTCCGGGATCCTATCACCGGGTGACGCATTAAGCCGGTAGTAAGGACGGAAGGTTAGTTGTGAGGCTGGCGACCCCACCCTATAAAGTGGATCCACTGCTACCGAAGCTTCAGAGCTCTTCACTACACTCAGAATATAAGGGAATAAAAGAAAAATTTAGGGTGTCAAAGCTATTTTAACACACACACTGAGCAAAAGTTTAAACAACTGGTATTTCCGAGGTTTTGTGGACAAAATGCTGCTTTAAGCATTGTTTCAAGTTACATTTGCTTCGAGTATAAGCAATATGTATTAGCCTAATATACTAACTTCTTTTGAAACGGTAGTATTTGGTAGCAGATTGGTTTATCCGACCAAAAGGCGTAAAGCTTTCATCGAAATCTCCATTTGCACATGTTCTTCTTTCATCTTTTCGGTGTTGTTTCATAAAGGTCGTTTATTTACCCTCTTCGCCACTGATACCATTATTCCGTTATTCAGTATCCTTGCTGAAGAAATCACATGCAATATACTACTTATGAAATCTCAGTAGCACACTTCACGGCTGCTATAGAGTCAACAGTTTCACTTTGTCGTATGCTTCATTAACTTCTAATGTTTCATGACTTGTATTTCACTGTCACAAAAAAGAAAATGAAAACCGTTTCAAAGACAAGGTTGACATAAAGTTAACTTTTTGTATTTAATACGATACAATAAGAGTAATGCATTCAAGTAAGTAAATAATGTTAAAATACACATCTTCATTGAATTCAATAATGATAGTATCATTATTACTTATAAAGTGGAACTATAAAGACAATGAGAGTGTAAGCTTATAAAAGAATATGACTCTTAAAGAATTAAGATTGAAATAAGTAAAAGAATATCCTGTAGTGTTGTATACAATATATATGTATGTATAATAATGATGTAGTTGTTCATCTTATGAACCAAGAGGATAAAGAAGATATCCAGATAGACTACTATACATATGTCCATGTAGTCTATACGCTTCATCTCGACATTCAAGCCATATTTGATCATTTTTATTCAATTGTATAATTGCTTGATTTGTAACAGTTGCCCAAAATGTACTTTCACACCATGAGAGTAATGCAACTTTACCATTATGCAATAAACGTACACCAGCCTAAATAATAAAAAAAAATTATTTAGTATGTGCGAAACAAAGGGCTAATGTTGTAGCACAAAATACGCTTAACTGTTATTATAGTAGAAATTTGATACAGTCTCTATGTAACACTTATTTCTCTGTGTAGTATTCATAAACTAAACAATTAAAAAGATGGATGATTGTTTTTTAACCTCACTTAAATTAGCCAAATAATACTGAATTCATATAAGTATTGAATTCAATACACCTGAGAAGTTTCAGATAAGGAGAAAGGTTCGTTCTTGAAGTCACTGCTAGTTGCCACCAAAAAATTAACTCGGAAGAATTACTTGTCAATACAACTAAACCTATTACTATATATATACATAATGTACTAAAACGAATAAGTATTTTTACGTAAACTTGCCGTAAAATAAAAGCGCTTATTTTATACAACATCAACGGGCCAGTACACACATTTTCTCAGCTTTGTGCACTTGAAACGCAAACTGATAAAGTGCTTGGTTCACAGAGCAAGAGGGATTTGCTTGGACGAATATCTTGATGAGGAACTTAACAATATTAAACGCTTGCTAAGTGAAAATGGTTATCCTGAAAAGTTTATTGATAAGAATCTGAATCTGAAACCAAAGCAGCCCAAGTTACCAACAGTTTCAAAAGAGGCCTTATTCTTACAGATGCAGTTCCTTGAGGACAATACCAGTGAGATACCAACACAGCGCCTTAGAAATGCGGTAAAAAGAGCATTTCCTGCTGCTAAATTACGCTGTATCTTTAAAACCACTCCTTTTCTGCTTTCGGGAGTAAAAGACAAACTGCCTAATTTCGCCTCTTCCATTTGTATCTACCAATTTAACTGCTCCTGTGGAGCCAGTTACATAGGCCGTACAATTAGGCATGTTTCTCGTCGAATTTGCGAACATCACCCTACCTAGTTAAGAAAAGGACAAACAAAATCTGTTCGCAGCGCTATTCTGTCTCATCTTGTGGATACAAAACACAAGATTGACGTTAACCATGCTTTCACGGTCATTTACCGCATACCAACAAATCTCAATTTTGCCTTAAGAGTTCGACTACTAAATATTGCTGAGGCTGTGGGGATCCATATTAACAAGTTTGATTTATGCATCCAAAAGAAGATAGTTCAGACATTGGCAATCTAGGTTTGAATAATACTGAATTTTTGTGGAATTTTCCTGATTTTATTTGGTATTCGGTTCGCTACTATATAATTATTATTATAATTTAAGCATCTTTAATGAACTGTAATTGCATTGACCTTACTTTACAGATCGATATTATTTAAAAAACACTAATGTTGTTAGTGACTACTAATCTAGAATATTCTGTGTATATAAACATATATATATATATAATTGTAGAGCCGGAAGAGGAATTTATCGAAAAGAATATTCCTTGTTCGATTATTTGTGTTTTATAGAAGTCTGAATTAGTTTCGCATGATTGTTTTGGCACCAAGGTCCTCATGAATCGTCTTCTGTTGTCCTTAAAAATTTACGTCGTCTGTTGATTAGTGTGCCGAATGGATCTTTTGACTGACAACCAACTTTACCTACAGTCAATCAGTGATTATTTTTTTAGTCGGCCTTACCAGTAATTAGTTTGAGTAGAATTTCTTACATTTCCTCTACTACCACTGTATGCTAGGTCAAGTTTTTAAAAATACTTGGGGAAAATTGTATGTCTACCATTTCTCTTACAGTCTGTCGATTAGATTATCTGTATTTTCTTACTAGCGATCTATAAAAGTATACACTTCATCCTCCACTTCTGTCAGTTACTGCAACAAACAAACCACTTTGTGGGATTTATTACTGACAAGATTTATAAGTACTAAATAGATGCGGGTAAAAATATGTACATCATCCAGAAGAATATCGAATAGCAGAGAGATAGATATAATGGTGAACGATGCTTGCGAAAAAAATTTGAGGAAATCAAAGAAGCACAATACCGACGATATATGCGAATTGTAATTCTAATATGTGGCAGACATATTTTGCCTATATTTGTACATCGACTTTCCAATAATCAATGCCGTTCTCAAGTATTCCTGTATACTGCTGTTGCAACATCTTTGAAAATGCTTTCGCAATATACGAAATATTACTACCCTCTCTGTCTGGATTCAACACAGAACTTGGCACCGAAGTGTGCACCACGTGACCTGGCCATCTCAATCTATATAACTTTATAGCCTCGTCGATTGATTTTCCCTCTTTGCCCAACACTCTACGCCTAACGTCAACATTACTTACCTTATTAAACCACCTAACGGGAGAAAGAGATCGCAGACATTTATGATCGAAAGCAGTCAACCTTTTCATGACTTCAATTCATATTGGCCATGTTTCAGAACCATAGAGAAGGACGGAGAGAAGTGCTGAGCAGTACAAACATTCCTTGGTTGATAGCCGGATGTCACGCCTACGCCAGAGATGGTGTAAGTCAGCGAAAGCAGCTCGAGCTTTTTGGATCCGTGCTGAGATTTCGCCGCCAATCAGTCCGTTGGTGCTGATACAACCTCCCAAATGTTATGTACTCGTCGCCAAATTATTGTTATGTACTGGTCGAGAATTTAATAGTCCTGACGCAAGAAGGCGGAAATCAGAAGACCACTAGGTTTGCGATGATACTTCTATTTTCCAAACACAAGGAGAATGCAAAAGTGGTATCACACCAAAGTGTCACACAAGATTGTGAGAGCGAAATATATATGAATGTCCAGACAAGTGTGTGAACAAATCAATAGACAGTCTTAACATGAATGGCTAATTATAATGGAGTATCGATCCATATATACATAGCAAAATATAGCAGACATGTCAACAACCACACATATAATATAGATATATGTCACCAAGCAACGGACTGTCAACAAACACTCATATTATATATAATATAAGGGGAATATACATTGTTAAAGGAGACAGGTTCATCAAAATGAAATGGTCACAGACTAAGCGAGCAATAGAAAGAGAGACCACCTTACACACACACACATATATATATTTATATATATATGGGTACATATCACCAAATATGTTAACTGGTCAACACGCTCTATCACTTCACACCCTATCACTAAGCTAGGAGGATATGAAATGGTAAGTAAAAGAGTTATGTCTCTTGTTGAAGTATTCAACAATTCATATTTGTAAAATAAATATTCCCATAATTTATTCAGATCAAAATATTTAGAGCGAACAATTGTTTTCAATAAATTCTTCTTCAGGCTCTACAATTATAAATGAATTAATGTAAGCATACAATAGCTAGTAAAGGCGAATTAGAATCATATCAGAAAGTGTATTATGGAACAAGTATAAGATGGGATGAAACAATAGTCATATAGTTTTTAATATGCATGGACAATAACAACATGGGACAGAATGAGATGAAATAATTTAATTTAATTATGTGTGTATATATGTAAATATAGTTAACAGAAAATACAGGTTTCAAGAGTGAGTGTAATCAGGGTGTGTGAGGTAATATGAAAATAAACCAACGAATGGGCCGGTCTAGACTTAAGATCATATTTGATAAATTCGTTACGTCTTCTGCACGTTTTTTTGGTAATGCCATTTAAATACTAACATTTCGGTAATATCCATTAAACCGTGATGACTTCTACGATCTTGTTACTGGACGATGATAGCGTACAGTATGAGAAAAACTGTTGTTGAGTTCCCCAAGTAAGGAAATGAAGCCTTGTTATGTAATTTAAACTACTGTTATACACACTATAACATTTCTTTAATATATCCTCGTGCGTAGGGCCATTAAAAGGATAAAATTCCACAAAGATAGAGAAAAAAGAGATTCAAGAAAAAGCCATAGTGAACAGAAATGCATGGGAGAAGAAATAGTAGCAAGGAAAAACGACAGTCTAGTGAATCTCGGCGATCACAAAGAGTGAATGCATCAGCGCTACTGAGAACAACTTTGAGCCATATCACCAATAGTCCCTAGCCTATCGTCCTTAGCCTCTCAATGACTCCACTAAGCAGTCTACACCTCCGTAGTGTCTCGAACCAATTGTCAAAGACTTTATGAATTGATACTAGGTATTGGTTTGACCATGCCTAACTCTTTTCCAATCTAACCCTATGTCAATAATCAACTCTACTTTATGGGTAAATGAAACTAAACTTTTAAAAATAGATTTGTAACACTAATCCTTAGTCTTCAGTGGTCTTTGGTAATGATACGCTATTTATTGAAATACTCTGAGCAAAAATTTCTCTAGATAATTACAGTTACGAAAGGGCAAATATCTGATTTTGTATTGTAGAGTGCTTTGGAATTAAAAATGCAGAAATGTTGAATGAGAAAGCCTTCATGACAGCCAGATGGCAATATAATGTCAATTTTTAACAACACAAACTTCCTTATTACTCGACATACTACTCAACCCAGCGCCAATATTTGAACAAAAGTATTTGTCATAAGGAATTTTGAATCCTTTTATATTTCTTACCTTCAGTGGACACCCATCGTAGCCGTAAAATAGCACAGAGCAAATGCGACGGGTATCTCGTAACTATGTTAAGATTCCGTCGGTAACTACTTTATTACGACTAACTTAGATTCCTAACTAAGTAGTGTAGCCAATGTGGTTTACGACTTATTCTTATGCTAGAAATCCATTTAGGTCAGTTATGTAGTATCGTCTTACGTTTGATATAATCATCAATAGGAGTGTCAAATACACCCAATGTCGACCAGGGATTACAACACATGACCATATAGTCTGCGTACCTCAAGTCAACAAGTTCTCTCAGTGGTAGCAAGCTAACTTATTTCATACCTGTCATAAATATATATTAAACTAAGTTTAAATGGTGACACTGGGCACCTCTGACCGGCATTTTCTTTATGCTCTAAGACAATCACCCCTTGTTCTGGTAACAAATCAGTCTCCGGAAAGTTGAAGTCATATTCATTGGCACATCTTTAATAGAAGCAAATGGGCTCAGTAATGTTCGGCATTCCTGACAGACATCGACTACTGTTGTAAATACTCCTTTCAGCTTTGCTTATAGTCATATATAACACTGGCTTATAAGTGTCTTCACTAATACAACTGACTTTCGCAGCAATGGCCGTATACCTCTGGATTAACCAAGTTGAGTGCTACCGGTTGGTCAGGAAAGATGGACGAAGACAGATAAGTATATCATTGTTGCCAAACCTGGCAAGAAATTACAAGTATATCAATCCATCCAGACGCATACCTAAGACCTTTTTGTCCCCTTCAGGTTAGCTTTCACTGAGCCTATTTCTCACCTATTTTTTATTTGATTGTGAAATGTACAATCACAGATATCATTTTAGCCAAGCTTATCTCTATGTTGTTTTTATGGGAAGATTTGTTATCTCATAAAACAGAATAATATTGAAACTTTTAACCTCTTTGTCTACTGATTTGGATAACTGGAATCCGCTGTTATTTGATACAGTCAAGATCGTGCTACGTGCAACTTGAGAAAATTAGTAAATGCATCAGACATACCACCAAACATTGGTCATCTCAGGAAAAATGGTGGGTAACATTTTAGTTTTTGCACCAGTCTCTGAAATCACTGAAGTTCTGACTGAATATCTGAGCAAACTGTGTTTTGTGTCATATTCGGATGATATATACCATATGAATTTAGTGAGTTAAGTAAGATACATGATGCCCTGGTGCTTAAAAATAGTTGGTCTATTCAGTAGAGCATTAGCATTCAAAATTTCACTTTTCTATGCTTAGCTGATTAGTAGGTGATGGGGAAACAACATAAAATAGTGTATCATCCTTTCTCACAAATCGTGTGATTTATCTTGTGATGGAGTTACTCTATGGATCTGTCATATACCACGCATATTGTGATTTAGGTGTGTGATCAATCCACCGTCTTTTGTCTCATTAATGTGAACAGCCAAATCCAGCCAGTAAGAACAATCCGTTCCCACGGTTGTGAGCCTACGTTATTATGGTAAAGAAAATGTATAAATGCCATGCTTTGTTTTCTAATAAACGTACAATACAATATATTACAGTTACAGGCCGGCCTTTGTCTTTTGATATTTGCGCGGCTCAGTGAGTCGGAAGGTACGACAGGCAAATGGATGTATTAGCGTACAAGTTGAACTCATTACCGTTATAGTAATTAACAGGCGCAGACATAACAAAGTAGCAACGGATTAATTCAGTTCAGTTTCAGTTATAACACTAGGAAAAGCAGGAATGGGTGGCTAGTTTCTGATTTTTCCCTAATCACTTATTAGTATGAATGTCATCGGATGGCTAGTTACATAGGCGGAGTTATGACGTTAATTCACACAGTCAGATTTGGTAGTTTCACAGCTCAAGGTGAAAAATCACCACAGTTGCTTATGAAAAACAGTGTTCAGATCACAGTTTGTCCTCTGCTTGGTAGCATAGATATTTTATTTTTTTATATTTTATCATAGCTTGACTCCACAGTGTATTTTTGATACAAGTATGGAATTTTCAGCATGTGATATCGGTAACCCAATTTTGCATGCCTACCATTGATATCGAGTGTGTATCGGCCGGGGATCGGACCCCGGACCATGTGCATGGTTGGCGAGCGTCCTAACCACTGCGCCACCGACGCAGTCAAGAAAGAAAGCATAACTAAATACCCACATATACTACTGATTGATATAAGCAGTCGGGGACTACTTATGTCAACCAGTAATGCTTACTAGCCAGACCACATCATTTGCTTATCTGATTTTCACATTTTAATATTAGAAATTGTATGCAGCCTCTATGATAATACCATACTCATCAGTAACCCCATAGTCACTACTTCTAAGAATAATGTCAAATAAACATTCAATACTGGAAAGTTTTTGAACAGGCTTGATCGCGAGCTGACATCAGTTAGAGAACCACTAGACAATCATGGAGTTCCGAACATCTGTTTCGTCCTAGTTTGGGACTGTTCATCTGTATGCATCAACCAGGAGTCAAACCAAAGACATCCCGGATACAAGACGAGCTCGTAGAGCATTCAGCTGTTGGAATCCGACCCAGTAGACCGTAAATTCCGAATCCTGCCAATCTGTGGTATATGTAGCGCAACTACCAGCCAATGTTACCGGTGAACAACTGCTCTCTCACCCCTCTTGATCAAGACTTCCCCCTAGAACTTCAGGTAGCTTTCTTTATAGAGCCAGTCATTACTGAGCATCAGATCAGTTTTCAAGTGTTGGTCTTCAAGGATTTAATTGATGTCAGCTGTCGATCAAACCTGTAACAGATCATGTCCCTGCAAATGAGTACTTAAATATTTCCTAACATTTGGCTAATTATTCAATTTTATTTCATTTTTATTACCGTTAACCTTTATTTTAGAATTGCCAACTTTCCATTTGAATCATTTTTAACAATAAGGAGTATATGATTTATTCGACTGCCATTTAACTTATAATAACCAGGTTATTTTGTTTTAATCCAGCGGTACTTTAAAATTGCTTCTTTTTAAATGTTTTTTTTCTTGGTACAGGATTGATTCTATATCTAGGACAAGAAATTTGTTTAGAAAAAAAAAACAATGAAGGAAGAGACTGATGATTCCTGCTAAAAAAAAGAAGATTTGAGGAAACGAAATACTTCCAATAAGAATAGAAATAAAATTTATCTCTAGAAAAAAGGAAGAAAGACATATTTTCGAGGGGTGGAGGGTGGATATATGTATCTGCATATGTATTTGTATGTTAGTGTTCCTGTATGTGTGGGTTTGTCTGTTCTCTTGTTATATTTCAACTTACTTACTTACTTTTGATAGATTTAAGCACGCAACATGAGTATTTGTCAAATAAAAAGAAACAATAATAATAAATTTGCCATTTTACCGTTTATCATCAAATAAAGGGCAAATCATTTTACCCATCTGGAGGATAACATTGAATAAAGCAAAGACATATTTTGCATACGTTCTTATCTTTGTGTGTGTGTGAGTGACTGACTGACTGTGCTTACACAGATTAGAACGAAGTATTAGGTTGTTTTATTCGAACACTTGTCATTTCATAGATTACTACTACTTAGGCCAGTGATTGTATACCACGATAACCAACCAGTTTGTCTATCTCAGTGCAAATACTTTTTTGTTTGTGAGTTTGTTTGTTAGTTAAACTTCATTGGTAGACATCTAGTTCCCTTCTCGTATCTCACTACTGAAATAATGAAACAATGTGAAAGGTCTATTGAATATATATAACTAACATTTACAAATCTCGGCAAATGTATACAACACACTACAACAGCTTATCTACTTCTCTACTAGAGAATTTCTTTTCATATATATTAGTTTTGCGTGTTTAAATATTTTCGTCCTTTCTTGTTTGTTTCAACTATATTTTTTAAAAATTTTTTTTATAAAATATGCTCAAAATATGAAATTGGGAATTTCAACAGAATTATCATTTCTTAAAAAGAATAAGTGTATCAGAAAAATATAAGAGCTGAGTTTTATTATTTTCTGGTTGTTGGTTTTTATTCCAACTGCTTACAACTTAAATATTATAATATCTCAAAATGCATAGTTTACAAAAGTGTTCATACGCTTATCAAGATGACAAGGAAAAGTTATTGATAGTAGAAAAAAAAACTACTGAGTGTAACATTCTACAATAGTGTGGTGTGTGCTACTTATAATTAGGTATAAGTAGTATATCAATAAACGAATTCAGAAAAGTAACAATATGTTTTAGGGCACTGGAAAAAAGGAATCGAAGAAGAGAACTGTAAGAAGAATGGTACAAAAGTGTGTGTAGAATCTAACAAGCTATCGACTGTAGTGATATTCAACCAATTCGCAATTGATGTGCAAATAAAGACGTAAAGATATAAGGCATACTAAATTTATGTACCTGCAATGCGTTTGTTCTAATAAACACTGCCATTGAGCCTCGTCGATCTTTTCTTCCTTACAGTAGGACCACGTGATACTATTAAATGCAGTGATACAGCATTGTTTATTTACTGACGACATTTCGAGTGCAATTTATTACTTATAATAATATCAAGGTGCTCGGCGATATGAATTTCAGATTTTGTTTATACACTCCTATTATTTTTAATCTTTTTATTAATAAAAATATTTTTCATATCTCTGTTTTAGTGTTGCATCATTCCCATAGCGAGTATTTTGTGTAGATTCGATGAACAGGGATTCCAGTGATCAACATCTCCCTCTACCTAACTAATTATATTACTTCTTAGGACTGTAGCTCTGACCGTCCCATTGGGTGATTACGCATTGGTGAATGCATTACACTTTCGTTAAATAACTACCCCATAAAATTCATTTAGGAATCTCAAAAAGTAATGATAAAACTGCTGACAGTATTACCATATGAGGGAGGGACTTCGGAAACCCTACGTGGTATTCTTAACAAATAAGAAGTAATGATGGTATTCAAACATTTAAAGTGACTATTGCTGCAGTTTCAAAGACTCTATTGACCCAACTAGACAAAAATTATCCAATCTACAAAATAAATCTTAATGACTGTGATGTCAACTACATAATTTATTCCAGTAGATCGGGATGAACTAATTTATCAGAACTTAGGAATTTAGTTAAGTGTAGAATGATTTATCCGAAGAGAATGATAGACATAGAAAGTAAGTCAGAAGCCGTGGTGCATGTACTTACGCACAATCATACAATAGGATGCAACACAGCTACACTCCTAAGATTTTATATAGTTACGTATACGAAGAAGTTGATCACTGAATCCTTTTTCTTCAAATATATACCACCAATAAAATCAGATAATAAAATCTGGGATTTATATCAGCAAATTGAAATGACTATGGGCACTAAATTGTGCTTGAAATGTTATTAAATAAATAAATAATATCATGCGCTGTGTGTTTCATAAAATCAAATTACTCTATCATGTAATTATACGCTACCACAGTGTCCAAATTCTATTAATATGTGAAGTTTATCATATTTCAGCTTGGAAAGGATTATGTAAACCTTCATCCTGTCCCTCCAATTTATTATTCTGCTGAGTGCATGTAAACTGATATACGTCGAAAATGGTTCATATTTACAAATCCGCTTGGCAAATAGACACATATTAACTCATGTTATTGTACTTCATTTTATGGATACTGCAAAATCCCGACCGATAGCTGCTACCTTGACGTGGTGGTCGGGCTTGCACATCGCGATGACCCAACAAGCTACATTGGCTGGAACCACTGTTCCTGCAGGTCCTACCATGGCAGAAATGTTGTTAGGATAGTGATTAGACTAAAAGTAGTTACCAGAATAATGTAAGAATTTTTACACTATGCTGGTGGTCTGAGAGTGAAGTCGTAGCGCTGGGGAACAGGGGTGTAACAGCAGTGAGCTGTTTCCCTCAGATGACCAGCATGCCAGCTATGCTGTCTCTCCATTCTGGAAAGAGGGGGTTAGAAAAGGTCAACCCTAGAAATTGTACATCCCGACTTACCTTACGGTCCGTAACCGGCGGTAAGTTTACTAATACGGAACCAAACCAAGAAACCAGTTCATACAGGCTGTGGGTGACTGGCCTCAAGCGGTTGTCCCCTGGGCTCTGTGGTCACGCAACACTAACCCTCTCTTTGTTTCAAGTACCCGAAGAATCAATCAACTTCCACGGTGTGGGCAGCTGGGAAGGAACAACCGCCCACACACTTCCAAAAGCACACGAAGCCTTCCTGAGCATCATTCTCCTCTACCCACATCATCATACTGCAAAATGTAGACAGTAGGAATTCTTTTAAAATAATCTCCATGCCTACTCTACTGCATTTTCCCAAATTAAATGCCATAAACGGCTTAAATTATTATTAATTTTTGCAATGAATTTTGTTACGTCATTAGATTGCTCATATGTGTTCTGATTTGAAGTCTTAATTTTTTTCTCATTTGGATATTGTTTACTTCACCTTTTAATCCCTTGAAAATCCTGTAGAATGTTTACAGTCACTTAACCTACTGTACTGACTTTCTACTTCTGGTAAACTGATGTCTCCATCCACTTTCTTTTTCCAAAAATAATTATCTTTTGAATAGACAATAACCATAGTACCCCAACAATTTGGTCTACTTTATCTATATGTATTACTCCTGACCTATGTGACCTGTTGTTCTTGTTAGCGTTTTCATATCAAACTAGTAAAATGATATTCATTTTTCTGGTGAATACATTTTGATATTGTTTTATTTGTAAGTAACTGAAGAGAAACTAGAAGTAATATAAAACTGTATTCATATTTTTCTGTCAAAATTTCTCCACAGTTGATATTTTTTTCAGCTGGATTCTTTGTTTGAAATAAAAACAGCTTTTGATATTCTTACCAGTATAGAGATGGTGCTTGATGTTTATTTGGCTCCTGATTAACTTAAGGGCTGGAATCCAATGGTTAGGAAATCAAAAAAGGTTCAGGTTCATAATTTAAAGACTTTCAGTGTGTCGAGAACTAGTTTAACGTGTGAAAAATACTATAGAACACAAAATAATTGAGCAAAGAATATCCTTTGCGATAATTTCCTCATCTGGCTCTACGATGATATATATATAGAATATTCTAGATTAGTAGCCAGTGACAATATTAGTGTTTTTTAAATAATATTGATTTGTAAAGTAAGACCACAATGCAATTACAGTTCATTTAAGATGCCTAAATTATAATGATAATAAAAATATAATAGCAAATAGAATATCAACTGAAATGAGGAAAATTTCTACAAAAAGTGAGGATCATTCGAACCTAGATGGCTAAGGTAAGGACAATGTCTGATCTAGCTTCTTTTGGACGCATTACCAGCCTTCTTAATGTGGATCCCAATGGCGTTTGGGAGTAAAAGACAAACTGCCTAATTTCGCCTCTTCCATGTGTATCTACCAATTTAACTGCTCCTGTGGAGCCAGTTACATAGGCCGTACAATTAGGCATATTTCTCGTCGGATTTGCGAACGTCACCCTGTGTACTTAAGTAAACGATAAACGAAATCTATTCGTAGCGTTATTCTATCTCATCTTGTGGATACAGAACACAAGATTGATGTTAACCATGCTTTCAGGGTCATTTACCGTATCCCAACAAATCTCAATTTCGCCTTAAGAGTTCGACTACTAAATATTGCTGAGGTTGTTGGGATCCATATTACAAAGCCTTATTTGTGCGTCTAAAAGAAGTTAGTTCAGACATTATTCTTACATTGGCCGTCTAGATATATGTGTAAAACTTCTGCACTGTGGTAGTAAGTAATTCCACATTAGTTTGTTTATTAGATGTATCACACAGTGAAACAGTATTATTTACTGGTTGACGTCTAGACTGTTTGCACTGTTAATTCATAACTGTGAATACACTTCTTCTTACATTGACGTCGTAGGATCATTATGCCATGATCTCTAACTCATATTTTTATTTAGAATATAAGGTCCAAGTGGAAAGTCCAAGTAATAAATCACAATAAAGAATGCATTCAATTATAAATAAAACACCTACTTTTTCATAACTTTGTGCTGATAAAACTACAACAAATATATAAACACCAGAGGCAGGTACAGTGAATACGCCTGTTGTATTGTCATATCCATTGCCAAGATTTAACATAACAGATTCAAATACTAATTGACAATTTTTATTTGTTGGTTTACTTTCGATGCTTTTTGATAATCCTGCATAGAAGGCGATTTGATATTCTATCGGTCTAGGTATCCATACTGGTTGCATTTTTGCTGTAATAAAAGAAGGATGAGTTTTGTATTACTATTGAAAGTATTTGTTATTATAACAATATCTCACATTTTTCGACATAATTAGTTAAATATCAGAAAATATATAAATAGTTTTTAGATTTGACCTTATGTGGTTTACATGTCCTCAAACCAAATCCTTGAGTTGTTATGCATACATACTGCTCGGTTGTTATAAACTAGGATGATGTAACCGTCTGATGATCCCGAGTTTTGTGTGACACTGAATCTACTGCTGGTTAGTGACTGCACCCACTTTGTAATAGAACCATCTGATCGGGTTGTCCGAGTCGAGTCTAACAGGGTTGAGGTCTGACTAGCTGGTCGTAAAACGGGGGGAAACAGCCGTTCATTGTGTAGATGAGTTTGAGCTGGCTAGCAGGCACTACAGGTGGACGTGAGAGGTTTCTAGTTGCACATAATGTGACTACATTGGAACATTAATTCTGCTTGTTTACACAATAGTGTTGCTAAATTTTATTCAATATAATTGACAAGGGTTCATTATAGACTAATTTCTTGAGAATAAATTGAGTAGTATAACTAGTATGCCAAATTTGACTGGTTTATAGTTAGTGATCTTTGATACAATGGGATCTTAGACTTAAATATTCAGTATTTGAGTCACGTCTTCGAACGCCTCATTCTTTAACAAAATTTGAGTGTATGTAAATCACTTTCCCAAATATGAAGCATTCATTGTATGATATTGCTAATGATTCATAAGTTGTACGTATTTCCAGTCAACTACTCTTTTAAACTTCTAAAGGAAACCAGTAGAAATGGAAAGGACATAATTACTTGGACCTCAATAACCGTAAGCAAATTTTTGATGAACTACACAATAAGCCACACTTATTGTGTTAGAGCTAATGGTACTAGTTAGCTGTCCAAGATGAAGAGAGATTAGAATATACAGCCCTGATTGTTGAAATCCAAGGGCTTTAACCAGTCATATATATATATATATATATATATATATATATATATATACTACTACTACTACTACTACTACTACTACTACTACTACTACTACTACTACTACTACTACTACTACTACTACTACTACTACTACTACTACTACTACTACTACTACTGTAACAACAGAAGACAAGGGCCAGGCAACAGATCGTTTTATTATGAAAATCAACACGTATTTATACATATTTCAGACAACATTATTATAGACAAGCGCAGTCATCTGATTGGTTGTTTAGGTAGACAAACGCAGGCTTCTGATTGGTTGTTTCGGGATTCCTTGACAAACAGAGTTCTCTATCTGCGAATCATATTTTGCCACGTTAACTTCGCTGTGATTGGTTGTTGACTCAGCCTTGTTCACGGCCCATATTAGTGACCTAGACCTTAACGTAGATTAGTGCCAACCAATCGGCTAGCAGCCTGCTCTCACCACACTCGTCCCCCCGTCAAATACGTGCGACTGAAGTCGGCTTGATCTACTTGGTGCAGGCGTCATCGTTGGCTTGTCTCGCTGTATCCATTTCTGGAGCTCGCTGACGTTCACGCGCCTCTCATTGTTCGCCATTGCGACTGTGTCTGCGTAACCCCATCTCGAAGTGACCATATATGGTCCTTCCCACTTTGGAAACTGTTTGCCTGACCCTGTCGAACATTCGTCCATACTTCGGCCCACACCTTCATATGCTGCTTTTGCCCGACCTCCCAGCAGCGTCTCAAGTAGCAGCTCCATCGCTGACAGATCTTGAACGCCACTCAACTGCGCAGAAGCCTTGAAGTCCTGCCCGAAGATCCATATGTCTCCATCAAAAACTGCAGGGTATAGGCTTTTCATTTGTCGGTAGGCAGCGACACCAAATGTAACAACAGAAGACAAGGGCCAGGCAACAGATCGTTTTATTATGAAAATCAACACGTATTTATACATATTTCAGACAACATTATTATAGACAAGCGCAGTCATCTGATTGGTTGTCTAGGTAGACAAACGCAGGCTTCTGATTGGTTGTTTCGGGATTCCTTGACAAACAGAGTTCTCTATCTGCGAATCATATTTTGCCACGTTAACTTCGCTGTGATTGGTTGTTGACTCAGCCTTGTTCACGGCCCATATTAGTGACCTAGACCTTAACGTAGATTAGTGCCAACCAATCGGCTAGCAGCCTGCTCTCACCACACTACTACTACTACTAGAGAGAAGAGTTCGACTGACAGTCTTTACATGCTAAATACAAATCCCCCTAAAATTACAATCACTCCAATCAAAATAGAATTATAATTGATCGCTTGAATACAAATACTAAAGGCCACAAATGAGATTGTTCTATTGATCGCCATTTTTGGTAGGATCGGAGGTCATATACAGTATTTATTAATTTCTTAAGATAAAATATTACTATGTAAATCAGGTGATCTGCAATTACACGATAAGTTAAATGGTAGCCTTATTTTGTCTGTAATTTCACGATGTTTACATTACCAGAGGTGACGTGAACAATTTCTTGTGTCATGCGGGGTCTTTAATCGATAGCTCCAATACTACATTGGATTGTATTTTGATGCCAATTGTTGAAGGATGATTATAGTACGGTCAGTTAGGTTATAAAAGTTGTAAGTGAAAAAGAATGGCAACAGATATCTGTTAAATAAAACGTACCCTTAAGGGAGTGATTTTTTTCTCAGGCATGAATTACAAGTTAGAAATCAACACAAATGGAAGGGCTGACATGGTGTTGTTTTCAGTGAACCAGAATTCAAACACATTTATTCTGGTGAACCTAAGTATTCTAACAACATGCCTTATACCACCAAGAGGATAAATGTTCATATATTTGACACGCCTTAAATAAAATAAAGGGCATAAAGGTATTCTGGTAACATACAAGTACTGTTAAAGTGACTGTGTAACTTTATGCGCAGCGTTGTAACACTCAGAAATGCGAACTTGTAATTGAAATCACTTGCTGGTCTGAATAATGAACATGTGAGTTCTTTACTCTCACATGACTTTGTTTCTAATATGTCTTCATAATATAAATGTTGCTATTGATGAATATATATCAAGCTTAACTTCGAATTGACTTGATGAATCACGTTTCAGACAATCACAACGTACATAGAAGAAAAGATGTCGACGTTACCATGATACAACTAATGCAACAGCAAAAAAATATTCTACCGGCTTTCGCTGACTGACTGCCAGCCCACCCTATACAGTGGTTCATAAAAATGAGATACACAGTTCTAACTCAGTAATAGAAGTAGTAATTTTGATATTACTACATTGGGAATCATGACGACTAAGTGCGGTGATTGACTATATCAATTGCTGTACCATTTTAAATATCCATTACTGTTTGTTTCTATTTATATTGTAGGTATATAATCGGTAGATTAATGTTGAACGCGAATTTCTGATTAACTGCTATTCCACCATGGAGTATTACAATTACAAATAAGTATTACATTGGGATATTAAAGAAAATCGGGTTTGTATTATACATAAAATCATTGGTCTCATTTTCCAATCCTATCACATTCAAGGTTTTTGATTAAACTTTACTACAAGAAAATGATTTATAAAGTTAGTCCATCAAATGCACACTATCTCCAATACTTTAAGAATGGATTTACTTGATTTACGGCAACCGGAATGCTGCTAAGCTATTCAAATACATGGGTATGATTGCATCCGAATTCTAATTTATTTATAATGTTACGAAGCTAAATAAAGATGGCGACTTGATGCAGTCGATTTACTTGTAAATGCACGTATAAAGTCCAAAGTAGTAGGTCAGACGCACTAACTGTATTTTTCTTCTAATTATATGTCCACTTTTAGTATAAAGTGATATGCTTTCAGTTACTAGAGTTAAAATTTCGGAGATAGCAACTGGAAAGCGGAGTGTACACTGGTGGGCGTCTCAATGAATACATTGTTATTATTATTATTGCTCCCTTGGGTTCCTAGTGGAACATAGGGCTTCAACTGCACGTCTCCATTTTCTTCTGTCTTCTGCTATACTTTTCGCCTGCATCCATGTTAATCCATATTCTTTCAACTCCTCTTCACACGATCTCCTCCATGTCACCCTTGGACGTCCCACACGCCGCTTCCCTTTCGGGTTCCACTCGAGGGCTTGGCGCGCGATGTCACCCAGCGGTCTCCTCAGCGAGTGTCCGATCCATCTCCACTTTCTCCTGCATATTTGTTGGGCGATTGGTTCTTGCTTTGTTTGTTCCCATAATTCCTTGTTGGTGATTCTTTCCGGCCATCTGATCTTCAGTATTGAGCGAAGACAGTTGTTAATAAAGGTCTGCAGCCTTTTGGAAATATTCTTTGTGACCCGCCAAGTTTCTGATCCGTATAGAAGAACTGACTTTACGTTTGTATTGAAAATCCGAATTTTGTTGGTGATGCTGAGTGACGAAGATTTCCAGATTGATTTCAGGCTGATGAATGTGTTTCTCGCCTTCCCGATTCTCGCTCGATTTGACATCCTCGTCCGCTCCTCCTGTAGTTGAGACAATGCTCCCTAGATAAGTGAATGAAGTAACCTCTTTCAAATCCCTCCCGTTGATGGTGATTGACGTTGGATGTTGTTGGTGTTGTTGGTTGGTTATTTTCATAACCTCCGTCTTGTCTATGTTTACCTGGAGTCCTGTCTTTGCTGCTTCTTCGACCAGTTTGTCGGTTTTCGCTTGTAAGTCTTCGATTGTGTGTGACATCAAACATAAATCATTCAAGCGCGAAATCCAGGTCTTCTAGGTTCTTCACGTCGGTCCAGGATATTCCTGTCTTCTCGTTTCCCACAGTCTGACGCATAATCCAGTCCACCACAATTAGGAATATCATTGGTGATAGTAAGCACCCTTGTCTGACTCCTGTGTTTACTCCAAACGCCTCGCTGAGTCTTCCGTTGTGGATCACTTGGCAGGTGCCGTTGTCGTACAGCTGTTGAATAAGGTTGATGAATATTTGGGGTACGCCATAGTACTCGAGT